CCGTCAGATACGAGAATTCCTTTTAAGTTTGAAAGGAAACAGTTCCCAATTATGATTTCATATGCCATGACAATTAATAAAAGTCAAGGGCAATCGTTGTCTCAGGTTGGCCTTTTACTGAAGAAGCCGGTATTCAGCCACGGTCAGCTTTACGTAGCGCTTTCACGTGTCACAAATCGCAGGGGTCTAAAGATCTTGATATGCAATGATGACCAAAGCAAGATGAATCAAACTACTAATGTAGTTTACAAAGAAGCTTTTCAAAACGTATAATGTAATGCTTCCACAATTTGTATTATTGTATACTTCACCCCCTTTAATATTTCCTGTTATATTCGTATTTTAATTGAATCGTATCAAATTCCAAAATTAATAAATTCCCTAATTATTGTAACTTTTTTTACGCCGTGCAACGCACGGGTTCGAGTCTAGTAAGCTTCAAAAGAAATAAGCACCGGAGAAGCTCCCGGGGCAGGATGAAAATGCCGCCGGGGCCTCGGAGACTGCCCCTCATCGGAAGCTTGCACCATCTAGTGGGTAAATATCCACCACACCGCTTGAGAGAGCTGGCCAAAATACACGGCCCCCTCATGCACGTCCAGCTCGGGGAAGTTTTTGCAGTCATCGCGTCTTCCCCCAGCATGGCCAAGGCGGTGTTCAAAACCCACGACTTGGCCTTCGCTTCCCGCCCCAAACTGCTGGTCCCGGAGACGTTGTTCTACAAGAGGTCCGACATCTTCTTCTGTTCGTACGGAGACTACTGGAGACAGGTGCGCAAGATCGTCATCGTCCACCTCCTCAGCAATAAAAACGTCAAGGACTTTGGGTCCATCAGGCAGGACGAGGTGTCCCGCGTGATGGAACTAGTCCGGTCTCACGTAGGTCGAAGACGACCCGTGAACGTCAGGAAGATCATTTCCCGATTCACTAGCTCGATGACTTGTCGGGCGGCATTCGGGAGCGTTATGAAGAATGAGGATGAGTTCATCACCCTCGTAGATGAGGTCGTGGTCTTTCTGGGAGAGTTCGACGTGGCAGACATATTTCACTCTCTCAAGTTCTTACACCGCCTGAGCTCGACGAGGCGCAAACTCCCCAAGATTCACAAAAGGGTCAATGCCATTCTCGACGACGTCATTGATTGTCACAAGAAGAAGAAGAAGAAGAAGAGGCTGCACGCTGCAGGCGGTGGAAGTGATGAAGAGGAGAATCTCATAGACTACCTCCTGAGGATCATTGGCGCCGACGACCTTCACTTTCCCATAACGGACGACAACATTAAGGCCCTCGTGTTAGACATGTTTCTTGGAAATTTTAAGTAAATTGGACAATTTTCGGACATATATTCGGTAGGGTCCACAAAATTATTTTCCGAAATAATTATGGACGTTTAATCTCGTGAGTAAGACGAACGTCTTGACGTATTACACGCCACAAAGGGTGCTCGGGTGAATGAGAAATTAATTCTCAAAGTTGAATGCTAAGGTAGAGTAAATGCCTTTGTCCCACACCGGTTTCTAAACCTTTCGTATTCTCATATTTAAGCTTTGGCATTGAATTGAGCTTATGAAAGGAACAAGAAGAGCACTCCTCGCGCGCCGCTGCCGTCCGTCCGGCTCGGCGGGTCGGGGCGTGCCCGCGCCCGCATCTGCGGCGTAAATTTTTACGAGACCGAATTGAACACGCGTGGACACTTCGTGATTAACGAAGTGCCGTCCAAAAGCATGCATGCACAAAGGAGGCGAAGAGGGTGCTGCGTCCCTTCGTAATTTCCGTCTAGTCCAAGCGAAGAGCCAACTCCCCTCCTATAAAAGGAGGGGTTGGTTGCAGGGGGAAAAAACTCACTTGAAATCTCTCTCTCTGTCTCTGCATTCCAAAAGTTCCGATAACTCCCCAACTCCGATCATCTTCTTCGGCAGTAACACCCATCCTTCTCGTTCGTCGGCGCACGGTTCTACCGCTCTAGGCCTTGCACGAAGCGGTTTTATCCTGGGAGGAGATTGCCCACGTTTGCCAGTGCGGGAGGCGGGCAATACTACCTTAAGGAAAGCTCCGGCGACTCCGCTTTCCTTGCCTTCACTTCGAGAAACTGCTCCGGCGACGCACCATTTCGTTGTCCGTTCGTGTTCCTTCATTCTGTCCGAGCATCCGAAGACTCCACTTTTCTCTTCTTTTATTTTTCCGTTGTAAAATCCGAACATTTTATAAGTTCAGATTATTTTATTTTATTTTTCCCGCTGTATTAATCAACAATCTTAAGGTAGTATTATGGACTTCGGATTCGGCATCGCGGGTTCCTCCGGCAACGGAATAAGTTCCGAAGCTCCGGTCGAAACCTCCTCTGTCGCCATGGTTGTGCCTTCCTCACCGCTGCCCTTCGGGTCAAGTGTGGGGGCCACCACCATGACGTCATTCTCGATGCCGAGCTCAATCTTCGGGTCGGCCCCTCGACCCATCCCCGGGCTCGAAACCACGGGGGACTACCCCGTCGGTAATTCGAACCCGTTTCTCGGACCGACTATGGCTCCGGCCTGGACGGTCAACTTTGGACCGAACGCGGGTTTCCCCGCACCGGTCAATCCTTTTGTTGGACCTCATTGGGCGAGCAACGGGCCTTTCCTCCATACGCCCAATGCAGTTGGGGCTATCTCAGTGCCCGCTAGCTCGGTCCAAAGGCCACCGAAGTTCAATGGCACGAACTTCAAAATGTGGCAACAAAAGATGATGTTCTTTTTGACCGTCCTGGGATTTGCTGAGTACGTGCAGCAAGATCCCTCCCAGCCCAATGAAGCCAACGACCCCCTTGTGGCGATGGTGAACCAAGCATGGTACCACAACAACTATCTCGCCATCAATATTATTCTTGAAGGGCTGGAAGATACGTTGTACCCCGTCTATGCCGGTGCCAAGCTTGCAAAAGAGCTTTGGAATAGCTTGAACAAGAAGTATCAAGCTGAAGATGCCGGCACGAAGAAGTTCATCGTCGGGAAGATGCTGGACTACAAGATGGTCGACAGCAAATTTCTTGTCGCCGAAGCTGAAGAGCTTACGGTTATCTTCAATAAATGCAATGAAGAGAAAGTAGGCGTCAGCGAGGCCTTCCAAGTGGCGGCCATCATCCACAAACTTCCCCGGTCGTGGGAAGACTTCCAAGCCGACCTCAAGCTCAAAAGAACGGAGCTAAACCTGGAGCAACTGCTCACGCGGTTGAGAATCAGAGAGGAGGGGCTTGCCAGAAGAGGTGGAGGTGCAAAGGCGAATGTGGTAGAACATCCGTCGGACTCTTCACATGGCGGGAAGGACAAGAAGAAAATGGGTCCTAAGGGTGGTGTTTCAAAATTTGCAGGGAAGTGCTACAATTGTGGCATTACCGGGCATCGTTCCTCCGACTATAGGAAAAAGATGCCACAGAAAAACAAGAAAAAAACCACCAAAGCTATGTGTGCAGAGCTCGACAACCTGGACCTCTGCGCAGTCGTCACCGAGGTGAATCTCGTCGGGTCAAACCCGAGGGAATGGTTTGTGGACATAGGGGCCACACGTCATATTTGCTCCAACCAGAGCATGTTTCACGAATTTCAAGAGACCTCCGAGGTTCAAGGAGTTGGAAAGATTAAGCTAAAAATGACTTCCGGAAAGGAGCTAACGCTTAACGACGTGCTCTATGTGCCAGACATTCGCAAGAACTTAGTGTCGGGGTCATTGTTGATCAAACACGACTTTCGGATGGTATTTGAATCAGATAAGCTAATCTTATCCAAGAAAGGGATTTTTATTGGGAAGGGTTACATTTCTGATGGGCTTGTCAAGCTTAATGTAATGACTGTTCTTGAAAAGATCAATAAAAATCCTGTTGCTTATGTGTGTGAGTCTTCTAGTTTATGGCATGGTAGACTAGGACATGTTAATCATGCATCTCTCAGGAAATTAATTAACATGGAACACATACCTAAGTTTAGTATTGACTTAACCCACAAGTGTGAAACTTGCGTTGAGGCTAAGTCAACTCGAAGTTTGTTTCAAACGATCGAACGAAATACTCAACCTCTAGAGTTGGTTCACACCGACTTGTGTGATTTTCGAACAACGCCTTCAAGAGGGGGTAATAAGTACTTTATTACCTTCGTCGATGATAGCACGAAATATTGCTATATCTATTTACTAAAAAGTAAAGATGAAGCATTACACACTTTTATTCGATATAAGAATGAAGTGGAAAATCAACTCAATCGTAAGATAAAAGCATTGAGAAGCGATAGAGGTGGTGAGTATGATGCTCCACTTAATGAGTTTTGTGCACAACATGGAATTGTGCATCAAGTAACCCCACCGTATACACCACAGTCTAACAGAGTAGCGGAGCGCAAAAATCGCACTTTAAAAGACATGATGAATGCAATGCTGCTTAGTTCTGGATTACCCCAGAACATGTAGGGGGAGGCTGTTTTATCAAGTAATTATTTACTAAATAAAATACCTCGTAAGAAACTTGACAAAACTCCGTATGAACTTTGGCATAATAGGAAACCTTCCTATAAGTATCTCAAAGTGTGGGGGTGTCTTGTGAAAGTACTTGCCCCACCACCAAAGAAGATGAAGATCGGTCCAAAAATAGTTGATGGAATCTTCATCGGGTTCAATAGTACGTCGTACCGGTTCTTGGTGTACAAATCAGATAATCCTAAAATTCACAAGAACACAATCATTGAGTCACGGAATGCAACGTTTTTCGAGCACATTTTTCCATGCAAGTCAAGTGACGAAGCCAGTTCGTCCAAACGTTCTCATACTAAGATGATGGATAATGATGATCCAAGTAAGCTGAATTCCAATGACGATGATGAAGTCGAACATGAGACTGAACTGAGACGAAGTAAAAGAATACGAACTGAAAAGACGTTCGGTTCTGACTTCATAACATATCTGATAGAATTTGACAAAGGAACTTTGTCATTTCTAATGGAAAATGAACCCGATATTCTAACCTGTTTGGTAGAAAAGGAACCACGAACCTATCACGAGGCCGTAACCTCAACTGAGGGACCTCAGTGGCGAGAAGCCATAAAAAGTGAAGTTGATTCTATTCTTCAGAATCACACGTGGGAATTGGTTGATCTCCCTCCGGGGTGTAAACCATTAGGTTCTAAATGGGTCTTTCGGAGGAAAATGAAGCCTGACGGCTCCATTGACAAGTACAAAGCTAGACTTGTGATCAAGGGGTATAGCCAACGCGAGGGCTATGACTACTTTGATACTTACGCGCCTGTGACTAGGATAGATTATATCAGAATGATCATCGCATTTGCATCCTTACGAAACCTGGATGTTTACCAAATGGATGTAAAGACTGCTTTTCTAAATGGCGAACTAGATGAAGAAATCTATATGGAACAACCTGAGGGGTTTAAGGTTCCGGGCCAAGAAAAGAAGGTCTGCAAACTTGTGAAATCATTATACGGTCTTAAACAAGCGCCAAAACAATGGCACGATAAGTTTGACGAGGTAATGATGAACAACGGTTTTAAGATAAATGAGTCAGATAAGTGCGTTTACTTTAAGGACACATCTGAAGGTTATGTTATTTTGTGTCTGTATGTAGACGACATACTCATCGTTGGAAGCAACGATAGGATGGTTAAGTCCACCGAGGACATGTTGAACGCACGATTCGATATGAAAGATTTGGGTCTGGCTGATGTGATTCTTGGAATCAAAATACTAAGAAGACCGGATGGTCTGAGCTTGAGCCAATCCCACTACATTGACAAGATCCTTGATAAATTCAACAAGGATGATACAAAGATAGCTAAGATGCCGATAGACGTAAATGTTCACCTTGGTAAACACCGAGGAAGTAGCGGTTCTCAGACGGAATACGGTAGAGTTATCGGAAGTCTGATGTATCTGATGAGCTGCACACGGCCAGACATAGCTTGCACCATTAGCAAACTAAGTAGGTATACTAGCAATCCGAGTGCTGAGCACTGGAAGGCCATAGTTCGAGTAATGAGATACCTTCGGTATACTCGAGATTGTAGCCTGTGCTACGGCAGGTATCCACCCGTGCTGGAAGGATACACTGATGCCAATTGGATTGCGGATAATAAGGATTCAAAATCCAGAAGTGGATTTATCTTTATGCTAGCCGGTGCAGCTGTTTCCTGGAAATCCTCAAAACAAACGTTAATTGCCAGATCCACCATGGAGTCTGAGTTCATAGCACTAGACAAGTGTGCAGAGCATGCCGAATGGCTTCGGAATTTACTTGAGGATATTCCAAACTGGGAAAAACCAGTTCCTCCTATTTGCATTTATTGTGATTGTCAGTCAGCAATGGGACGAGCTCGGAACAAATTCTATAATGGTAAGTCTAGGCACATTCGCCGTAGACACAAAACCATCAGACAACTTCTCAATACGGGTATTATCTCGATTGACTATGTCAAGTCAAAGGATAATTTAGCGGATCCATTAACCAAAGGGTTAACCAATGAGCAACATGAGAAGTTAGTAGTAGGAATGGGTCTGAGAGCCCTACCCTGTACTGGGAATGTTCCATGAAGGAAAACCCAACCTAGGTGGTACCTGGGTTCAATGGGACAACCTACCTGTGGAACAAAGCACGGTCACTGTGGGGGCAAGCCGAATCACCGATTTGACACCCCTTCATTCCTACTGAGATATAGTGACTCCCGAAAATGATGAGGTTATCATGACGCTTTAATTATTCTTGAACTATGGACAACAAGGTCCAAGTGGAGTAATCGGGATACTCTTAGTAGAATCACCTATGTAAGAGTGAAGTGTGGTCGCTTCAACAGAAGGATTTCGGGCTGATCCTGTCTGACACTCTCGCAGAACCAGATGCGTGTTCCACGACCATAATGGGCACACCCATGAGAACGGAATGATGGTTGGTTGAAACTTGTGTATTGTATATCGTCGTTTACATAAACGGCAGTACAGTTCAAAGACATCACGTTCTACTGAACAGCCAGTAGAGAAGGTATACCTTACAAGGAGCAGGTTTCAACTTCAGAGTTATTGCCAGTTACATGAATTAATTTTCATTCATGTGGGGGATTGTTGGAAATTTTAAATAAATTGGACAATTTTCGTACATATATTCGGTAGGGTCCACAAAATTATTTTCCGAAATAATTATGGACGTTTAATCTCGTAAGTAAGACGAACGTCTTGACGTATTACACGCCACAAACGGTGCTCGGGTGAAAGAGAAATTAATTCTCAAAGTTGAATGCTAAGGTAGAGTAAATGCCTTTGTCCCACACCGGTTTCTAAACCTTTCGTATTCTCATATTTAAGCTTTGGCATTGAATTGAGCTTATGAAAGGAACAAGAAGAGCACTCCTCGCGCGCCGCCGCCGTCTGTCCCGGCACGACACGCGCATCGGGTCGGGTCGAGGCGCGGCGCGGCTAAATTTTTACGAGACCGAATTGAACACGCGTGGGACACTTCGTGATTAACGAAGTGCCGTCCAAAAGCATGCATGCACAAAGGAGGCGAAGAGGGTGCTGCGTCCCTTCGTAATTTCCGTCCAGTCCAAGCGAAGAGCCAACTCCCCTCCTATAAAAGGAGGGGTTGGTTGCAGGGAGAAAAAACTCACTTGAAATCTCTCTCTCTGTCTCTGCATTCCAAAAGTTCTGATAACTCCCCAACTCCGATCATCTTCTCCGGCAGTAACACCCATCCTTCTCGTTCGTCGGCGCACGGTTCTACCGCTTTAGGCCTTGCACGAAGCGGTTTTATCCTGGGAGGAAATTGCCCACGTTTGCCAGTGCGGGAGGCGGGCAATACTACCTTAAGGAAAGCTCCGGCGACTCCGCTTTCCTTGCCTTCACTTCGAGAAACTGCTCCGGCGACGCACCATTTCGTTGTCCGTTCGTGTTCCTTCATTCTGTCCGAGCATCCGAAGACTCCACTTTTCTCTTCTTTTATTTTTCCGCTGTAAAATCCGAACATTTTATAAGTTCGGATTATTTTATTTTATTTTTCCCGCTGTATTAATCAACAATGTTCATCGCAGGAACGGAGACGTCGGCGATGACGCTCGTATGGGCGATGGTGGAAATGCTGAGGAGCCCGAACGTGTTGGCCAAGGCGCAGGCGGAGGTGAGGGGAGCCACCGGAGGCAGCAGGGAAAAACTTGACGTGGAGGAGCTCAGGTACATGAAACTGGTGGTGAAGGAAAACCTCCGTTTCCACCCTGCGCTGCCGCTCTCGTTCCCGCGGGAGTGCATCGAGGAGACGGAGGTCGAGGGGTACACGATCCCGGCGAAAACGTGGATCATGGTGAACTTACAGTCGATAAGCAGGGACCCGGCGTACTGGGAGGACGCGGGGAGCTTTGAGCCGGAGAGGTTCGAGAGCAGCGGGGTGGACTTCATGGGGAATAACTTCGAGTTCCTGCCCTTCGGGGGCGGGAGGAGGATATGCCCGGGACTCTCATTCGGTCTGGCAAATGTTTACCTCCTCCTGGCCAACTTGCTTTACCATTTCGACTGGAAACTCCCCCGGGAGGCGGAGTATGCGCGGAGCTTGGACTTGACTGAAACTGCCGGAGTTACTGACTTACTGGCGGGAAGAAGGATGACCTGTATTTGGTCGCCACGCCCTACACTCCATAATTAAAGGAGGGTGTCGTTCCTTGAAGTAATCAACACCTAAATTAATTACGGGAGGGAGGAATTTACTTGCATGTATTCTTTGGGAACTCTTTTTGAAATTATTTTATTTCTTAATTAGTATATCGATAAGAATTAAAAATAACATATTAAAAAACTACGTCAAAAGTTCCACAAAAAAAGGTGATACTAATATATTTTATTTTATTAAATATTTAATAAAATTAGGTAAATAAACAAAAGTTATGAGAAGAAAGAAAAAACAATTATAATGAAATTGGGGACTACTGAGGGAGTATGTTTTTCTTACTCTTTGACTTTTTAGCGTGTGAGGTGGAGTACCACCGAAAGGTCCCACCCAGGTCTAGTTTATTTTTTTAAAGGTTAAATTACATGAACGGTAATCATCAATTAAGGGTTATCATCAATTACTCTCAATTTGTATTGTATATTAATATATTAAAATAAACTTTTGAAATTTATCAACTACATAAGTATTATAAATATATTTTTATTATATTAATACGTATTAGATATTTTATTTAATTGACGTCAAAAATTGATCTTATTTGACTAAAAAAAAGTAAAACTAGTATACTACATATGAATAATTAAAGTTGGGTGTCGCACCTTAAAGTAATTGGCACCTTATTTACAATAGGGAGGAATTTAATTACCTATGTTTTATTGTTTTCTACTCCTTGACTTTTTAGGGTGTGCGTGTGCGGTCCGGTACCACCAAAAGATCCACAGAATTACCGAGTATCATAAAACGGAGTAATTGTTGCGAGTAAAAATAAAAGAAAAGAATTAGTACTCCCTCCATTGTCTAGTTTAGATTTCTTTTAACTTATCTAATAAACTAACATGTGACATAATTATGTGGCCTTTTTTTAACATCTAATATGTCCAAAGTTTAACTTACCTAATAAACTAACATGTGGCATCACAAGAGTGTAAATAATTAACAACACAAAGATAATTATAATAATGGAAAAAGATAATACTGGAGTAGGTAGGGAGATTACATAGACGATGGTTATATTTAATTTGAGAATTAATTTAAGAAGACAAACATATAGACGCAGATACATGCAGTAGGAAAAAAAAAGTAGTGGTGTTTTTATTTAATGAAAATGAGACCGAGGGTAGTAATAATATACTCAATTAAGAGTAGGAATAATTGGAGTATATTATTATTATTATTATTATTATTATTATTATTATTATTATTATTATTATTATTAATGATTGGATTATTAATGGATGGATGGATGAAATATGCATGTATGTATGTGGAATTAGAGTGGTAGGGGATGGAGGAGAAGGGCCAAAATGTGAGGCTTCAAGACTTTCTCGGGATGAGTATATCCATCTTGGTTGTGTTGATATGTAACATACACAATACGGCTGAGATTTAGGATGCGCAGGAGGATCTCTCTGGGAACCGGTGTTGGCTTAAGTATGCCTTGGTTCAAATCCTTCAATGCGCATTTCGCCAATTCATTAAAAGTCTCCAATGCCACATCCAGTGCCACTCCATGTTCATTCATGTAGCATTCAATGCCAGTCACCTCTTGTCCTCTCTCTTTTTCAACCTGCATGCATGCACCATTATATTCATTACTCCCTCCGTCCCCCTAAGATGTTCTCATTTTGACTTTTGGTGGTTTTTAAGGAGAGTTGAAAAAAAGTGAAAGTTTACCATAATACCCTTAATGAAATATGGGTGGAGTGTATTAAATGAGGTGGGTGAGGTGTAATACGTATTATTATTATTATTTGACCTATAGCTAGTGGTTGATTATTACTACTAGCTAGCTAGCTACACTCACATCAAAGGTGGCTATGTCATCTATAGTCCTGCATATCATGGTTGATGCCTCCAGAACTTTTGGATTTTTCATTAGCCATTCAAACACTTGCTCATCAGCACACTCCAACCCATAACATGATATGGTGGCAAGTAAGTAGTATGTGCAACTAATGAGTCCATTCCTTAGGTACTCCGCAATTGGTGGTTTGTGCTGGTTTTCACTAAGCCACTTGGCTTCAATAAGGTAGGCACTCACGAGTTCCTTCATCTACATACATACATTTACACACACACACAACCATCAATTTAATTAGTAATTAAGAAAGCATGCAAATAATAATTATTACTCGATCCGATCCGTACTAGTACCGAGTACTACATACGGAGTATACACACACACACACACACGTACTCTTTCCTTGGCGTGGTGAACAGCAAATGACCTTCCTTCCTTGGAGAGTTTCATTTCGTCCTCCTCAAAAATGTCTAGCAGAGCTTTGTAGCTGATCTTCATGTAGTCCGGTAGATGATCTATTTCACTAATATCCCACCTAATAGAATGCATGCATGTACGTAAAATCTAATTAATGATGTTGAATATAAAACATGTACTGTAATAAATACTCCCTCCGTCCCAAAAAGTCTTTCCTGTTTAAGGGGGTATGTATATATATAATTAAATAATTAAGGGGGCCGGGCCGGGCCGGGAAGAAGTGGTAGCTAGCTAGCTAGGTTGGTATGTACTCACTTGGATACAGCATGGGTGTAGACATCTAATTCAGGTATGGTGCCATAAGCATCGTAAGTGTCATCCAAGATTGAAACAATGCAAATGTTTTTAGCAAGCATAACCCGCGCCTTTGAATATTTGGGCTCAAAGTATACCCCAAGTGCCCAAAAATAGCATTCCACCGCTCTATCCCTTGCGTACGGAAGGGTTTTTGCGAAATTCAACCCTTGCCACCACCTGCACCACACGTACGTACATTTCATTTCATTCGTTCCATTAAAATTTAAGTACACAAAAATAAAAAAAAAATAAAAATATTTACATTAAATAACACTAAAACTTAAGTCATTTCACTAAGTAGTGGTAGTAGTAACCTTGATATTTCACTTAGCTCTTGCCTGTGCAACATCTGAAGAGTGTTATAGTCCAACTTGGCAAAGCGGAGCAAGATGTCATTATTCCTGGATGGATTTGCTTCGTAGACAGAGATGAAAAAGCGTGTTTCAATTCGGGGCATGCCAGTATGGAGTGGTTGTTCAAGGGCATGTGCCACAAGCTTGTCGAGAGTACTGGTCGTCGTAGCGGCGGCGGCGGCAGTTCGAAGACGGGTGTTGGCAAAATCAAATGCGCCTCCCAAAATGTTGTCGTCGGTACGAGTGATCACCATTGAAGCCTCATACAAACTCAATAGACCTGACACATTTGAGGTGTCTTTGAATTTGCCGTCCATGCCCACAAAGCCATTGAAAATGTCTGCGTCATATCAAATTCCAAACCCAAAAAAAAAAAAATTAAATAAACATAAATTCAAAATGTGATGATCATGCGTGGTGGCAATCATGTGAAATTCATAATAAAAATAAATTAAGAAATTTCATCCAAAACAAACATTTAAACAATGAAATTTTTTAAAATAAAGAGTAAATGATGATGATGATCGATGCTGACGACGACTTCGAAAACATTAAAATAATGAAAATTTCAATTTTAAAATAAAGAGTAGTTGTTCATGCCTAATCTAATAATTTTTATTAATGTTTATTACTCTCTCAAACGGGAAAATGCCGTTTCACTATTATGACTTCACATTGTCTAAGAAAACTAATTGAAAAAATAAAGGGAAGTCAAAATTTAATTTATTAGAGAGAAAGTAAAGTTTGTGGATCACATACTCCGTATTTTTTATTTTATTATAAAAGTAAAGAAGTGAGATAGTATATTTATGCTAACCAAGTGTGCCACCAGTGAAAAACATTTCCGAATTTGCTAGTGATTAAGGACATTCGATTGGTAAGTAGATGAAGATTTGGTAATCATACATCTGATCTATTTATAATCCGCTCCGCATATACATTTGTTTGAGTAACCTTTTATCCATGTATGTGATCCGCCATATATAAATTTTTCCAATTTTTTTATATATTTTGTTTTTCATTAACATATCGATTAAAGTATATATTTAAAATATATGCATAGACATAAGTACATGTGTATGTGTAGTATGTACTCCCTCCGTTCCACAAAACTCTTCCGATTTTGACTTTGGGGAAAAATAAGGAAAGTGTAATTTTGGTTGACTTTCCAATTTTGCCCCTAATGTGATAGGAAAAAGTAAGATGAGATAGTTTGGTTATTAGTGAAAAAAAGTATGATGTGATAAGTAGGGTATGAAAAAGTAGAGGTAAAAGTGGTTCTTTAATAGAAAATGGAAGTGTTTGGTGGAAAGTAAAAAAAACGAAAGAGGAAGGGTTTTGTGGAACGGAGAGAGTAATACTTTTTACCATATAGAGTTTTCATAGAATAGTATAGATTACAAGAAATAAGAATAATAACACTACCCCGTAAGAAATTGCAATTGAATGCATATATTAAAAGTATTTATATATACACTAGAGAGTATGTAGTTCACTTTTACTCCTTATTTTTTCATACCCTAACTATCACATCATACCTTTTTACTAATAATTTATCCATCAAATCATACTTTTACTCATCACATCAAAGGACATTTTTGGAAATTCAATACCAAAATACACTCCCTTAAATCCCTCCTGAAAAGCAAATGTCCCATGTTTCACGGGACGGAGGAAGTATATGATATTTATTTTTAACACCCGTCAAAATCCGTATCCGAATTTGATATCCGATAAAAGACTAAAAGTAAACAGATACAGATCCAATAATGACACATTTGAACTAATTCGTTTACACCCCTAAGTTAGGTATTTAATATTTGGGCTAGTTATGAATTTACAAAATTGACTAGGGGCACATCAACATATGGCGATTGTCCCTTACCACTATCTCTTTTCAAAAAAATTATGTGCCCTACATTTGTCTTTGTTACTTTTAGAGTACAAGAGCAAAAAACTCCTATATATAGAGAAAAAATTATTACTCCCACTTAGGGAAAAGTAGAACCTTTTAGTCTTAAATGGCACAATTTTTACTTTTTAAAAATTTACAACTTTAGTGTTATTTTCTAATTTTGTCTTTAAGTTATACTTCCTCCGTCCCCAAATAAACTTCCTTTTTCGTTTTTTTTTGTCCCAAAATAAACTTCTCTTTTCCTTAAAAAACCTCTTTTACCCCTTACTTTTTCATACTCTACCTATCAGATCATACTAATAATAGAGTAAGATATGACGTACTCCATCTGTCACAGAAAACCTTTTTCATTTCTTTTTTCATTCATCCCAAAAAGAAGTTTCTCATTTATATTGAAAAGTCACATTTGCTCTTACTAATTCTTAACGTACATATGACATAGCATCTATTCTCTATTAATCTACTAATCAAATCCAATTTTTATCCTTCACATCCAAGGACATTTTTAGAAACACAACTCCAAAATACACTCCCCATAAATCGCTTAAAAATTAAAATCGTCCAGGTTTTCTGGAACTTAGAGAGTATTGAATAAAAAATTACTCCAATAAATTATAAAAAAATACTCCTTCCGTCATTTAGTATTTGTCCACTTTTTAATTCTTTCGGTCAAAATGGGTAAACTTTGAACTCAAACTTTGAAGACATGGTAAAGTACGTGATAGGACGAACCTGAAGAAATGTGGAAACCATGTTGCCTCAGTAAGCGAAATTGAAGGGCAACTGTTTCCAAATCATTATAGTGATGTTGATGATGGGCAATGGTGGAAATATGGTGCAAGTGATCCTCAATTTCTTTCTCGAAATGATATGAAATTCCGAGCCGTTCCAACAAGTCTATGAATTTCAGTTTCTCAACGGTGTCGTATGAGCTTCCCAAATCATCAGGCGATGACAACATTGCCCTTGTTTGCTCTTTCAAATTTTCAATCTCTTCAGCATATGCTTTTCCAACCTGAAGTACATGTTACGTTACGATAATTATGGGACGAAGAGAGTTATGTGTGTGTGTTGAGTTTGTTTATTTAATTTGTACTCTCTCCATTCTAAAAAAAGAGTTCCTAGTTTGATTAAGTGCAAAAATACGAGAGCGTTAAATTGTAATTGACTTCCAATGTTATCTTTGATGTGATGGGTAAAAATAAGATGTGGTTGAATTGATTATTAGAGAAAAAAAAGTATGATGCGATACGTAGGGTATGAAAAACTAAGAGTAAAAGTGATTTTTTAATAGAAAGTGGAAGTGTTTTGTTGGAAGTGAAAAAAATGAAATTAGAGAAGTGTTTTTGAGAAGGGTGAGAGAGTAGTTACAATGAACAAATTTTGGATGGCATGTCCCTCCTTGACATTTGCTTGAAAATTTAGGTAATTATTATGAAAAATATTATGATCTTGTAGTTCTTACCACAAAACGAGAGGTATTCGATACCATCCCAATTGTTTGCTTTCTGAAGTCATTTTATTTTTACAAAAAAAAATATAATACGTATTTAACCTATAAACAACATGAAATAAAAAATTATTTGAATTGAATAATGAGACGTGTATGCATGCATATATTGCAAGGTGAGAGATAGGGAAGAACAGATCGAGTAAACCTTATGATCGATGGAGTAGGAATAAAAGCGATCGCCCCATAAGCTAGGGGAAAAGTTGGCCATTGGACGAACAACAACATTGTTGGTACCCGAAGTCGCCATTTTTTATTATGGGAGAAGAAGAAGCCAATTTAGTTACTCGTATTATTAGCAGCTGATTAATGGGTGTGGGCATTAATGGACAAAGGCAAAGCACTATTTATACACCCACTTCTCTTTTTAGATGCGTCACGTGGGTCCCACTTACACGTACATACTCCGTCCCTAAATATTTGCCACATTTGTATTCCCGGAGTAAAATATCAAGTTTTTTCAATTCATTTTATTTACATATTCGTATAAAAATAAAAAATAAAATTTACATATCAAAAAACTACATTAAAAGTTCTTCGAGATAAGAGGTGTCAAGAATACTTTATTTTATCAAATAACCAATGAAAACGTAGAAATAAACAAAAGTTTCCGCGAGTGCTGAAAAAGCAAACGTTGCAAATAATTTGGGACAGAGGGAGTATAATTATATCGGAGTATTATTTTTATTAATTATAAACAAATAAATTATATACTCCGTATATAATAAATTATTAATTAAAATTAATATTCTTTTAGTAATTAAAATTAACTAATTAATACTCCCTCCGTCCCGAATAGAAGATAACATTTCTTTTTTGGCGCATCTCATAAAACACTTCTATATCGTCTCAAAAGCTAAAAAAAACTTTCAAAACGGCTAGCTGATACACACAATAAAGGGCAAATATGATAAATTTTAGGTATTTTTAGATGTGAGCTGAAGTACTTTATGGGATGCCCAAAAAATGAAAAGAAACCTTCTTTTTGAGACAGAAGGAATACTTTTGTTAATGAATTATTGTTGTTAAAAAATTGTTACTTTTTCCGTCTCATAAATCTTTTCAAAAACAAAAAAAACACACCTTAAAAATACCAGTTTTACGGATTAAGACCGAAAATCTTCTAGCAGGTGGCGGAGTTTGAACTCATCACGTCAAGGTTACCACAGTTCTATGTGCTGCTGCAACCACCCATTAGTAATGGAGCCAAAGTCTCACAAATGGGCTATGGGGAACGAAACATAGCGAGAGTTCGGGTTGCGCCTTCAAAATATTTTTACAAACACAATAAAAATGACATAAAATTAAAAAAATTGATCTCAAAAGTTTAAATAGTTCAAATAATATAATTAAGTGAAATTTGTGTTAAATAGGATCAAAACATAATGACTTTTCTAATGTAGGACTTAAACTTTTTTATTCCCTAAATAAGACTTAATAATGACCCAGTGGGAGGAATAATGTCCAGTAGTGATAGACATTTACTTGAATAATGACTACTTGATAATGACCAAAAGTCCTATATTGGGATATAAAAACATGTAGTCCTATATTAGGAAAGTCAATATGTTTTAGTCATATTTAAGTAAATTTCTCTATAATTAAATGTCATTATTATTAATTATAAAAATTATAAAAGATGACAGTGATAGCAAATACTGAAGCTAAAACACATTGTAGTAGTAGCTAATAACCAATTTTTTACAAAAGCAATTAGAAACATAAAAATCTAATAAAATTTTGGTCAAACATTCAAATAACTTAAAATTACACAATTAAATGGTATTATTATTAATTTTAATAAAAAAATTAAAAAAATGCACTCTACCGAGTATGTTTAAAAAAATTAGTGGTTTTTGTAGAATAGTATAGATTACAAAAAATGAAAAATATTACTCAATTAAAAATTTTAATTGAATGAATATATTAAAGTCTTTACTACTTTATATATAGTTTAATCTGACTTTGAAAATTTAGAAACAGATATATCCGATATCTAACCCATTTCCGACGGATGCGAATACGGTTTTTTTTAGAACAACCAACTTTCATTAATTCAAAAGAGACATAAGAAAATCAGGGGGGACAAAATCTCAATCACCTGTTTGAGTTTCAACTCGTCTAGCTAACGTATGCGCTACCACATTGAGATTTCTACGAACATGAGAAACCAAAACAGATTCAAACGAGGCCATGAGGGCCTTACAGTCATCAATCAAAGACCCAAAATAAGAAGCACAATCCGACACACCACTATCATTAATTGCCTCTACGACACGAAAACAATCAGAAAAGATAACAGCAACCTGGACTCCAAGACTTTTGAGCCACGACAAAGTCTCCCGGTATGCCATAGCTTCTGCCAACAACGGATCTTGCGGGCACCACAACCGTCGAGTAAAAGCCGCTTGAAATTCCTTAGAAGAGGAGAAAATCACTCCACCAGCACCAACCAGACCTGAACCATGGAATAAAGCAGCATCAAAAAAACAATGGGCAGCTTCAGGGGGGAACCCTCTCTGCCGAAGGAGATAAGGTGGGGGGATCCTCTCTATGACTATTCTCCCACCCTTTCGAAAAATTCAGCACCATGCGAACTGTTACCTCTGGGGTTGGCACCCGTTGTTCCCATACGACTGCATTCCTACACTTCCAAATCATCCAGATTGTCCACACTATGGGGATTAGCTCACTGGACGTGGCCGTCTGAAACACCAACTGAACCCAGTCCGAGAACGAACTCGTCGCCGATCGATTAGCAACCCGGAAACTACTGCGTTCCCACACATATTCTGCAAACGGGCAAAGAAGAAACAAATGATCCACTGTTTCACTCAGCTGGCCACAAATGGAACAACAATTATCAATTTCCAAACCTTTGGAATTCAAGGCCGAAACAGTTGGGAGGATACCTCGAAGTGCAATGCCAAACACAAACCTTTACTTTGGGAGCTACTGGAATCCTCCACAGTCGGCTCTATTGTGAAAATCCTTGAGTTTGGGTAGCCTCCCCCATAATCCTGCGATACCTCGACTTCACTGAGTAAAGGCCGTCTTCACTGCCAATCCAAAACCAACTATCTTTACGCCGAGGGCAACACGGAATCATCTGCACCTGAGACACGTCACATTGCACAAGATGAGTTTGAAGCCTCTCTAAATTCCAACAACCCCTATTCGCATCAATAAAATAACTCACCGGCAAGTTAGCACTTGGTGAAGCTAACACGGTGTGAAGAAACGGGTTATCCCGGTCCAACAACCACGTAGTACCCCACGCCATTGTTTCGACCCCATTCCCAATACGCCTGCGTACCCCCGCTTTAACCAACTCTTGGGCTGCCATAATGCTCTACCAACAGTAACTTGGAGTAGACCCCGAACCTGCTTCAAGGAATGTAGAGTTAGGGAAATATCTAGCTTTGAAAACCCGTGACACAAGGACCTCGGGTTTGGTCAAGAGCCGCCACCCTTGTTTACCTAGCATGACAATGTTGAAGTAATGAATGTTTTTGAAGCCCAAACCCCCAAACTTTTTAGGAACAGACAACCTATCCCATGACATCCAATGAATTCCCGAGGCATTAGACCCACCTCCCCTCCACCAAAAGGAATTCATTAACTTCTCAATACGATCACAAACAGACAAAGGGAGACGGAACACACTCATAGCAAATTGGGGCATAGCTTGTGCGACAGTCTTAAGCAAGATCTCTTTCCCGGCTTTAGAAAGCAATTTTTTACTCCATCCACCAATACGATGTCGAATCTTGTCAAGAATGTAAGTAAACATCCCACTTTTGTCCCTTCCTAAGAAAGAAGGAAGACCCAAATATTTCCCAAAGTTATGGGTTGGGGTGACACCAAAAAAAGAGGTAACCCATTGCTTCAACAAAGGAGGGACATTCAGACTGAAACAAGCATTGGATTTATGAAAATTGATAATCTGACCTGAGATCCGTTCATACTCAACCAAACAATCTCTCACTGCACACGCCTCATCAGGAGAAGCCTTGAAGAGCAAAAGACTATCATCAACAAAGAATAAATGAGAGATAGGCGGAGCCCCTCTACAAACTTGGATCCCATTAATCGCACCTCGTCTTTCTGCATCCTGTAAAAGTAACGAAAGACCCTGAGCACAAATAATAAAAAGATAGGGGCTCAGTGGGTCGCCTTGACAGAGCCCTCTGCTCGGGGTGATAGGTTCCGTAAATTCACCATTCAGCGCAATCTTATATTTAACACTGGTAACACAAAGCAAAATAAGATTAACCCATCTCTGATCAAAGCCCAACCTCAACATCACAGTACGCAAAAAAATTCCCCTCCAGCCTATCATACGCTTTAGCCATGTCCAACTTAAGACCCACCCAACCAGTGTTTCCCCCTTGCTTACGACGAAGAAAGTGACCCAACTCTGCAGCAAGAAGAATATTATCTGAGATCAAGAGCCCCGGTATAAAGGCTGATTGAGTATGAGAGATAATATCCGAGAGCATAAACTTCATACGATTGGCCAAAACCTTCGCTATGATTTTGTAGACAACATTACACAAGGCAATGGGTCTTAAGTCTGCAACCGTCTCAGGAATGTCCTTCTTTGGAATTAAAACAATAGTCGCATCATTCAAATTGTCTGGGAAAACTCCCTCATTCAAACATGAAAGAACAAATCTTGTAACTTCTGAACCAACCAGGTCCCACGTCTTTTGAAAAAATCCCGGATTCATCCCGTCTGGTCCTGGTGATTTGTCTGGATGCATAGCAAAAAGCGCCTTTCGAACCTCCACTTCTTCAAACGGCCTAAGAAGCATATCATTATGCACTGACGAAACCTTCGGCGTAATCTGATCAAAAAAAGTTGATTGAGCAGCCCCTATAGAGTCAAAAATATGATTGAAATAATGCCAAACCAAAGGTTTAAGGGCTGCACCCTCACACCACTATCCTGCACCATCCTGTAACCGGGCAATATGGTTCTTCTTTCTCCGATAAGATGCATATTGATGGAAATACTTAGTGTTAGCATCCGCCGACCGGAGCCAATGTTGCTTAGCCCGTTGACGCCAATAAATATCCTCCTGTTCCAAGAGTTTCGACAACTCCCCGTCAAGTCGATTAAACTCCCTCAACCCTGTAGCACTACGACACCCCCTAAATCTTTCCACCTTAGCCTTTAAATGCTTGATCTGTTTACCAAATTTATGCATCTTATCACCCCCCCAAGCCATCAACTTCTTGCCACAATAACCCAACCTGTCCTGGAGAGAAAGTGTTGACGATGAATTCCAGGCCTCCTTGATCACATCCTTATAACCGTCATCACGAAGCCATGCATTTTCAAACTGGAACTGTTTCATCCGCCGCGGAGTACACGGTTTAGTTAGACATAAAAACAAAGCAGAATGGTCAGATGTTCGCATGGGTTGATTTATTACGCAAGCATGGGGATGAAGCACGCGCCATTCACAAGTACTAACGGCACGATCCAGACGTTCTTCAACCCAATTCTCCGTGCCTCTACCACGCTCCCATGTGAAAGGGTATCCCTGCATACCAAGATCAAATAGACCACACTCCTCCAACATTGAATTAAAAGCAGAAATCAACGAAAGAGGTTGAGGCTGACCCCCTCTCTTCTCAGAAAAAGCACATACAGCATTGAAATCACCGATGACCACCCACGGTATGGAAGATCTGGCCTTTAATGAGCGAAGGAGATCCCACGAGGTTTATCGAAGGTCTCTTCTAGGATTCCCATAAAATCCAGTGAGCCTCCAAGGGAGAGCACCTCCCAAAGAGACCATAACATCAACGTGAAACCGTGAGTAACTAATGAGATTAACCGAGCGGTTTGACCTCCAGAGTAACGCCAAACCACCACTTGCACCAACACTGTCCACCGCAAACAATCCCTCAAAACCAATCTTAACACGAAGAACTTCGGCCTTATCACGAGCACCTTTAGTTTCCATCAGAAAAACAAAATCAGGCTTTTTAGAGAAGACGAGCTCCGCCACTTCCTGAACTGTCCGCAGGTTGCCCAGCCCGCGGCAGTTCCAACTGATGATACTCATTGCTCTCGGCAGTTCCAACTGATGATATCAAGATCCGTATTCGAATTTGATATCCAATAAAAATAAACAAATACAAATTTGGTAATATAATTAATGACACATTCAATTCGATTAACTGTTTATGCCCTCGTTGAGCATGGTCGCATGGCACCCCCTCCCTTCCCATGAGCTCTATGTGTGAAGAGCCTCGTGGCCAAGGCCACAGGTAAGCTTCTTTCTTTGATATATATGGTGATTATTAGTTAATTAGTATTTATTATTTAATACTCCCTCCGTCCCATAAAGTGTTACACATTTTGACTAAAATTGAAATTAAGGAAGGGATAATTTTGTGTTGACTTTCTAAAAATACCCTTGATGTGATGGGTAAAAGTAGGATGTGATGTGTAGATTATTAGGAAAAAGGTATGATGTGATAGGTAGGGTTTGAAAAAGTAAGGGGTAAAAGTGGTTTTTTAATAGAAATAGGTTAGGGATTGTGGGACACAATTTTTTTGAAACGTGTAAATCTTTTTGGGACGGAGGGAGTATTATTTAGTTAATAGGGTTTAGGGTTTAGTATGGGCCCGAGCCCATTAGGTCAATTAGCGTATCGTATTACTCTCTATATATTGTAATCCTTCCCCGTTATTATGGAAGTAATCAATAATCAAGAATTCTCTTAATCTCTCGTCTCTCTTTTCTTGGAGCCCAGAAACGCTCGAAGTTTTCCTTCTCTTTTTGCCTCCCCTTTCTTGGAGCCCGAAGACGCTCGAAGTTCTTCCCTATCCCGATACGAATCGTACAAGATTCGTATCATTCTTCTTCTTCTATTTTTTTCCTTTTTTCTTCTTCCATTTAATTTTATTTTTTAACTACAATACCTATTTTGTTCATAATTTTTTGTACGTAAGTAATAAGTAACGCACCGTTTGAAATATTTATTCAAGATATATCTAATGACACCAATATTACATACTCTCTCCGTCCCTTTAAACATGAGATGTTTTGATTTTGAAGAGATTTAAAGGGAGTGTATTTTGGTATTGAATTTCCAAAAATGTCCTTTGATGTGATAGGTAAAAGTAAGATTTGATGGGTAGATTATTAGTAAAAAAGTATGATGTGATTATTGGCGGATGATATGATTATGGGGGCCACATAGAACGTTTCGAGGGCACTCATCCCAGTCAACTTTTTTTTAAATATATAGTGTACAAATTAAAAAAAACTTGTAAATTAAATGTTTATCCCTAGTAAAAAATATTTATGCCCGGATAAATTCCAAAACAAAAATAAAAGTGAAATTTACTTAAATAGCATTAAAATATAGTGAATTCCCCTATATAGCACAACAAATTTTAATTTCCATAATTAGTATCGAATTAACTAATTAATGATTAATTATTATTTCTATTGTACTAAAATACGTTTTATATGATTTTATATTTACTATCTCATCACGCCTTACCACCATTCGCCTGCTGCCGATCACAAAGGGCCTGTTTGGGAATAGCATTAGAGATTAGCGTTAGCATTTTGGATAAAATTTTAACGGTGCAGATTACTTTGAAAACGGCAACGCTAAACGCTGACCGTAGATAATCTTTTCAAAACGCTAACGCTAATCTGTAAAGTTATTCCCAAACAGGCCCAGGCCCAAAATCCTGACGTCAATGTCCCGCCGTTCAGGGGAACCACCTGCGAACTCCTGCCTTACTATTGTCCTCGGTCATTTCAATTCATGGATCCGCCCCTCCGCATTTTAATGGAGATGGCCTTACATTATTAATACGCAGCGGTGATTAGTTTTACACATAATTAAATATTTTACAAATGTTATTTTTAATACAATATTTCCAAATTAATCTAATTTTGATGTACTCCCTCTGTCCCAGTGTATTTGTCCAGTTTGACTTTTTCGAGTCAAACTGGACAAACTTTGAGCTTCAATTAAATAAAAATCATAATGTGTTTTAACGTAAAAATGACTTTATTGAATATATCGTATTGAAAACTTTCAAAATTATATTTCATTATGCTAATATGCAATATAAATTAAGAGTAATTGGAGTTCAAACTTTTTCCAGTTTGACTCGAAAAAGTCAAACTGGACAAATACACTGGGACGGAGTATTTCATAAAAAAACCCTAGATCTAAAAAAAACTAATACTCCATCTGTTCTCAAAAACACTTCCTCTTTCATTTTTTTCACTTCCAACAAAACACTTCCACTTTCTATTAAAAAAACACTTTTACCCTTACTTTTTCATATATCATACCTATCACATCATACTTTTTCTCTAATAATCTATCCATCACATCTTACTTTTACACATCACATCAGGGGCAAAATTGGAAATTAACTATGGAGTACTCCCTCCGTCCTAAAACTTTCTTCCCGTTGCGTAAAACGAAGAAAATCCCAAGTTTTTTCAATCTATTTTATTTAAATATTGGTATAGAAATAAAAAATAAAACATACATATTTAAACACTACATCAAAAGTTCAACAAAACAAGTGGTGACAAGAATATTTTATTTTATCATATAGGCCATGAAAAAACACAAATAAATATAAACTCCCGTGAAGTTGGAATAGTGCTCTGGGAAAAAGTTTTAGGACGGAGGGAGTATAATTTAACACTTCATTATTTTTTCTCCAAATCAAAATGAGAAGTCTTTTTGCAAACGGAGGGAGTAGTATTAATTAAATTTCGCCCATAATTAAATTGATACTCCCTCCGTCCCATGAAACATGGGACTTTTGCTTTTTAGGAGGGATTTAAGGGGAGTGTATTTTGTTATTGAATTTCCAAAAATGTCTTTTGATGTGATGGGTAAAAGTATGATTTGATGGATAGATTATTAGTAAAAAGGTATGATGTGATAGTTAGGGTATGAAAAAGTAATGGGTAAAAGTGACTTTTTAATAGAAATGAGAAGTGTTTTGTGGGACGGATAAAAAAAGAAAGGAGAAAGGTTTCATGAGACGGAGGGAGTACTAATGTACTATTTAACACCAATAACTCTGTTACAATGTAGTATTTATTTGTATTTTTTCTTAGCCTATGAAAACTCGAAGAATTACGTAATGTGATTATTGATGTTCAAACATATGACCTCTTATTTAAGAGAATCACAAAGATGTCCCTTGATTTCAACGCATTTATTTATTAAAAGTTAAAAGATTATTTTGAGCCACACATTTCTTTGTTAAAATGAAAAAAGTTTAAGATTTCATTCGCGAGTATTGTTTTTTATTATCGTCAGTTGTAACGCATTTTTAATAATACAGATGAATTTTAAAAAATTTAGCACTAAATGTTACTATTAGATACCTTTTTACTAAGCTAGAAAACACTTCATCTTTCAAATTTTTTACTTCCAACAAAAAACTTCCACCTTCTATTAAAAATCTACTTTTACCCTTTATTTTTTAACATCCTGCCCATCATATCATACTTTTTCTCTAATAATCTATCTATCACATCTTACTTTTACCCATCATATCAAGGGCAAAATTAAAAGTCAACTATAACTTAATACTTCGTATTTTTATATTTGGTCAAAATTGGAACTATTTTTTAGAAGGGAGGAATTAAATTTAATGTCTAACCGAGGCCAACAATAAAGTTTCATTTTCGGACTGAAGAAAAAAAAAGTAAAGTTAAATGTGAAACATAATGAGTATTTTAGTCATTTATTCCTACTTAGAGCATGTTATTTAAGGGTTAAACTCTTAACTTCTAGTTTCTTTCAGTTTCTTCTTGTTTTTCCAACTATTCTCTTTTTTTTCAAACACTTTCTACTCCCAACAATTACTCTAAAAATGATTTATTTTTAATGTGATTATTATTATTATTCTTATTATCATCATCATCATCATCATCATCATCATCATCATCATCATCATCATCATCATCATCATCATTACAATTGTTATGTGCATAACTATAGTTTATAAATTATTTTTTCCATCTCATTATTTTTACAATTCATACTCATTATTTTTCTTCAATTTTTTAATATAAATAAGACATTTTTTGTATATTAATCTATATGATAAAACAGGAAAATATAAATGTTTAAAAATATATTTAAAAATTATGAATAAAATAGTTACATAGAATGCTTTATTAATCTAACTTTATATAAGACCCTCACCTTTCTCTTTATGACTCAATTTTTTTTCATTCTTCTAATTTTTATAAAAAAAAATTGAAAGTAAAAATAGTTTAGAGAAAAAGACTAAAATAGGAGTAAAACATAAAAAATCTAAAAAACAATGTTCTATGTTTTTTTTCTAAAAATAAGAGTTAATTACAATGAGAATAAAATATCAATCTTGAAAGAAAAACAGGTTTAATTACACTATGTGACTAGGGGTGATTTCGGTTTTGACGGTTTGGTTTTTACCTAAAACCAAAGACATAACGGAAGACATTTTGGCGGTGCGGTGCGGTTCGGTTTTGTAAAAAAAAAGAGAAAACCAAACGTTATACGGTTTTTTAGCGGTTTAAATTTCGGTTTTTTTCAATTCTTTCGATTTTTAAAAAATTTAATTTAAAAGTAAAATAATAATTTAGGTAGAGAACTATTATTATATAGATATGCCAAACAATTAGTAGAAAGTAAAGTTTGTAAACCTACAAGTAAAACAATAAATAAACTACAATTACAAGCAAAAAAAAAACTGGGAGAAATGCAGTAATTTGCAGTTGAAAACTGTAAAAATACAGTAAAAAAAGTGACATTCCAAAAAATTGCAATTATCTATCCAAAAACTGCAAGTATCAACCCAAATTAAAATGGCAGGCACATCTTTGAGATGCAAAAATGAATCTTCAATATTAAACCTGCAAAAAGAACATTTATATGCACTCTAATTAGCTAGGATATACTTATATTTTGGGCATCTTTTTTGTTTCTTTTTGGTGTGGGAGAAAACTCCCGACACCCCCTTGTGGCTGTGGGTCTAAGAATGAGATGCTAGACTAATTCATTAAACATATAAATCTAATGATCTCTCATCCTATCGTCAATTGTCAATTAGTTTTATAATGGAGCCCCCATGGAAATGTGTTGGGACTATCGCACAAAATGGGCATGAACTTGCGTGTGTTCCCCCGCATTTTGTTCGGTCAATCACATTTATGATGGTATCAAAGCGAGATTGACCATGGGGTCACGAGTTCAAATCTCAGCTCGCCACAACGAGTTTTAAAAAAATTAATTTTGATGTGCAAGGATCTAGAAAAAATTTCACCTGTACTTGAAAAGGCGTGTTAGAGTATTAAACATTTTTAAGGCGTACAATTACAAGTTTGAGTTTTGGTTGAGTTGGTTCATTAACATATTATTAGAGTCTTGTTGACCAAGAGAGGTCACGTGTGCGTGTCATCCTTGCGCATGGGTTACAAATGGTATCAAAGTAACTTTATGACCGTGATAGGACAACGAGCTTAGTTCACTTGGCGGGAAGATTTAGGGGCTTGAAAAGGGTGCAACACGGGCATTGCATTCCTTATTGGAGGGGGTGGAATCTAATACCCCATGTTAATTAACATCCAATGAAAATAGCTCAAAAGGATTGATTGGATTACTCAGCTCAGACTAACAAGATAAATCTTGTTTTGGAAAGTTCCTAAATTAGAAATACCAAAGTTTAGCATGTTTGATATGGACAAATCTTATTTTGGAAAGTTCATAAATTAGAAATACCAAAGTTTAGCATGTTTGATATGGAACAATTTTAGGATGGGTGACCCCTTATATGATATGAATAAAAATGAATGACTATATACATAGTTGACGAACATTTTAAAAATATGAATAGAAATCCATGACTTCAAAATATGAATATAAATCTAGAGTAAATTCCATATTTGGTCCTTTATAACAGGGGAGTTTCCATATTTAGTACTTTATTATCAAATATTATCCTCGTAGTCCTTTTTTTAACGGTGTCTTTCCACAAATGATCCTTTTTTTATCTTCTGCCATGTTGGTGTTAATTTAAAAGCTAAAAGTATAATTTGTCATCAACATTATGTCTAGTGACGTGTTCTGATATTGGTTAAGCGGATAACACAAAAATAATGAGTATGATTGTGGGCTATGATTCCAACGAAAGACCACATTTGTAGACTATGGTTGTAGTAGAAAGTGATTGGAATTCACAAATGACGCAAATGGAACAGCCTTTAGAATTGTGTATGACAAAAAAGATATATTATCATCATTGTGAAATTACACTTTTAGCCCTCAAATTAACACCAACATGATAGAAGATAAAAAAATGACTATTTGTAGAAAGATACTCATAAAAGAAGGATCACTGGAATAATATTTGATAATAGAGGACTAAATAGGAAAATCATCATGTTATAAAGGGCCAATTATGTAATTTACTCATAAATCTATGTACAATATCCCTCTCGAATAGTTTTTAAAAAAGAGGAATTTACTTAAATATCACTAAAACATAATGACTTTCAATTCTCTAAATAGCACTACATATGCTTTTCTTCCCAATGTAGCACTTTTAGTCATTATGCATTAGTCATTATTCAAGCAGATATTCGTAATCACTGGACATTATGGACATTATAAAGTGCTATTTAGGGAATAAAACAATTTAAGTGTTATTTAGGAAAATGACTTAAGTTTTAGTGCTATTTAGTGCAAATATTTCTTTAAAAAATATTAAATGGCATTTATAGTGTCAAAAATATTTAAATGCGAATGATGAAATTAAGGATATATGATCTTAGATGATTTTTTAAAGGGTGATTATAGGGAACTGTTTTTATCTCATTAGTGAACAAATTAAATCAGTAGTGCGGCTACTCATTATAATCAAGCTATTGAAGTCTTGAGTAAAATTCTGTCACATGTGATGCTGAAATTGCTCCTCATTTACTGTAGAAACTATTGGACGTGAAACTTGCGTTTTCCATTAGTCACAGGAAGTATATATACATGACGGAGTATACTAGCTACGGGCCCATAATGTACATAGCCCAATACATGATAAACGAATATTTACAAAATATACTACGCTAACACTCCCCCTCAAGTTGGAGCATGAATATCATAAATGCCCAACTTGGACAACAAGCTGTGAAAAAGAGGACTGGAGAGAGCCTTTGTGAAGATGTCCGCTGTCTGAAAACGCGTAGGAACATAAGCGGTGACAATATGATTGCGCTGAAGGCATTCCCGGACTATATGACAATCGATATCAATATGCTTCGAACGCTCATGAAATACTGGATTAGCGGCAATGAACAAGGCAGACTTGTTGTCACAATATAAACGAGGAGTCGCTACACAAGGAACGTCTAAGGCGGCCAAGATCCCACGCAACCAACGGATTTCGGCACAAGCATTTGCCATAGCTCGATACTCAGCCTCTGCAGAAGATCGAGAAACTATAGTCTGCTTCTTTGTGCGCCATGAGACTGGAGAGCCACCCAATAGAATGAAATAACCAGTGACAGATCTGCGTGTGAGGGGGCAACTAGCCCAATCAGAATCAGAAAAGGCAGTGAGGGCGAGATTGCTATCACTGCGCAACAAGATACCCTGACCAGGGTGGCCCTTGAGATAACGGAGGACACGAAGAGCCGCATTCCAATGATCGAGACGGGGCGCCTGCATAAACTGAGAAAGATTGTGAACGGCATAACAAATATCCGGACGAGTAATGGTCAGGTACAACAAGCGACCCACAAGACGACGATACTTCAGAGGATCACGAATCTCAGCACTGGTAGATCGAGCCAAATTATGATTAACCGGTAATGGAGTGTCCACAGGCTTGCAACCAAGCAGGTTGGCCTCATCAATAATGTCAAGAGCATACTTACGCTGAGTAAGGACCATACCATCTAGAGAGCGAGCACACTCAATCCCCAGAAAATAGGAAACTGGACCAAGATCCTTGAGATGAAAACATTCATCTAAATACTTCTTGAATGACGTACATAAAGACCTGTTGTTACCTGCTACCAGAATATCATCAACATAAACAAGCACAACCAACATATCAGGGCCACGCTGGAGAACAAAAAGAGTGTGATCAGCGTGGGCTTGACGAAAACCATATCGTCGTAGAGCAATGCGAAGCTTAGTGAACCAATTACGAGGGGACTGACGAAGCCCGTATAAGGACTTTCGAAGACGACAAACTTTCCCTGGAAAAAGATGAGCATAGCCAGGGGGTAGTTTCATATAAATCTCATCCTGTAAATCACCATGCAGGAAGGCATTATTAACATCCAACTGATCAACCTGCCAACCACGAGCCACTGCAACAGACAACAAAACACGTACAGTAGCAAGTTTGGCAACAGGAGCAAAAGTGTCAGTATAATCAACACCAAGTTCTTGATGATTGCCTAAAACAACAAGGCGAGCCTTATCACGCTCCTTAGTACCATAAGACCGAAATTTGGTCTTGTATACCCACTGACAACCAAGGGCTCGACGATTAGGAGGAAGATCTACAACATCCCAAGTATAATTACGCTCCAGAGCCAAGTACTCAGTAGCCATAGCCTCACGCCAAGAAGCAAACTGAACAGCCTCACGAAAATTACCCCCTTGACTCCACCGTAGTTATCGAGGTTCTTTTGGGAATATGGACAGTACGTTGAATCTTATTACTTGTTTCAATCATTATCCCTTGGCTCATGGTCTAACACTCCTTGTCCTCCTCTGGCCTCGGCTTCACTGTCAGAAACGTCTTAACTCTTGTATCAGCAAATCCACCCTGCCTGCTGCTGCACACGCTCCGCCAAGGGATGGAAGTATCGGCGATGGAGAAGTGGTCTCCACCGAGGAGGACTCAGGGTTGTCGTCGTCATCAGAAGAGGCGGAGGGGGTGGAAGATTCCGACGGGGACTGAGACGGTGACGGGGATTGCTGGGTGGGCTGCTGGGTTGCCGGAACGGCAGGGATGACGGGAGACGGGGAAGGCTGCTGGGTCGATGGTACGGCAGGGGTGATGGGGACAGGAGCAACGGTGAAATCAACCGGGGAGGGTGTGAGAATAGGTGGAGGGCCGGACGAGGGAGTGGGGACGGCGAACGGAAAGACGGTTTCATCAAACGAAATATCCCTCGTGTGAAAAAACTTATGTGTGTCAAGATTATAAACTCTCCACCCTTTGGTACCATATGGGTAACCCACAAACACACATTTTACACTTCGTGGGTGGAATTTATTGTTGGGTTTGGGAAGAGGATGGACAAAACAAAGGCACCCAAAAACCCGGAGATGACTTAAATCTTGAGGTTTGGAGGATAGGATTTCAAGTGGTGATTTTCCCTCGAGAATTTTGGTGGGTGTACGATTGATTAAATAAACAGCCGTTTTGACACATTCCCCCCAAAATTCGAGTGGAAGAGACGCTTGGAACATAAGGGATCGGGCCACATTCAGTATATGACGATGTTTACGTTCTACCCGCCCATTTTGTTGTGGGGTACCAACACAAGATGTTTGAATACATACACCCAAGCTCTCATAATATTGACGCAAAGAAGAATTCAGAAACTCAGTACCATTATCAGAACGAACAATTTTAATTATTTTGGAGTATTGGGTGTGGATCATTGTGAAGAAACGTCGTAGACAAGAAGTGACCTCACTTTTTGATTTAATCAGATAAACCCAGACAGCTCGAGAAAAATCATCAACAATTGTCAGAAAGTAATGTGCCCCAGATGAAATACAAGGTGAATAAGGTCCCCACAGATCACAATGGATTAAATCAAAAACAGCATCAGCTTTATTATCACTAATACGAAATGGAGAACGAGTTTGTTTGGACAAAAAACAAATTTCACAAGTCTGTAATTTTTGGACAACAGACTGTGTTTTATTAGTACCAAGAAAAGGGAGAACATCCACGGAGGGGTGGCCTAACCGTTGATGAAGAACAAAGGGATCGATGTTGGCTACGAGGGCTGACGCGGGAACTGAGGCAAAGACATACACGCCGTTTCGCAAATCACCCTGTCCAATCACTATCTTCGACGAACGGTCCTGTATTACACAACGATGATCATTAAAAGTTACATAACAAGTATTATCACGAATTAAACATCCAACAGAAATCAAGTGACAATGTAAGTTTGGTACGTATAACACGTTACGTAGTACCAAACGAGAAGACAGATGCACACTTCCCTGTTTGACAGCCTGAACACGGGACCCATCAGGGAGACATGGAATGAGGAGAGACATCCTCAACATTAAATAAGTGTGAAAGAGATCCTGTCATGTGATGTGAAGCTCCACTATCAATTAACCACTCACAAAATGTAGAAGTCATACCATTCATTTGATTGGACGAAAAAGAATCAATCACCGACATTAACCAAACCATTTTATCCCCACTTAATTTGTCCGCCATGGTGTGAGTTTTTTTTTTTATGGTTCGGCGAAGCAAGGAATCGCTGAAATTGACGGACAAAAATCAAATCTGTCGACAAAGCAACTAGACGGAGGAACTGGTGAAACAACTCTTGAAGTCAGATCTTTTCAATTTGGCCGATCCTCACAGATTGAACAGCAATTTGGACGGCCTTCGCTGGGACTGGCGCGATCGGCTGGGTCTGCTCAACGAACGCTGGGATGGATCTGCTGGGTGTGCTGGACGGGCAAATCTACTGGATCGGCAGGATCGCTGGAGCAGACAGACGGATCTCCTGGGCGAACGGAACTGACGGACGGACAGATCTGCCGGACGGACGGATGGATCTGCCGGAAGGACGGACGGAACTGCCGGGAACTTTGGGGATGACTGTTGCCGGACGGACGGATCTACTGGGACGGAACTTCTGACGGACAGAGCTGCTGAGGAAGGCGGACGGCCGGACGGCGCTTGACAGACGACGTCTGTGACTTAACAGGATTGCGATGATGGAACGATATCCCTAG